TGGAGTAGGCGTACTCTAACGAAGAAATCTGGAGGAGAATAGAGATCAAAGTGAGTTTTGTTGAAGTCTAAGTGCCATCCATCTCCCATACAGACTTTCACCTGCCATTGTTAGATGTTTAGCAAGAAAGTATGGAAGGCATAAGAGAACGAACCAACGGATGTTCAAATCGATACTATAACCAACCTTTAAAGTTTTCTTTGGAGAGGAATTTTTGTTGGGGTCGAAAACTTGTCCATTAGGAGCTACATTCATAAGAAAATCTGGCTTCTTGACATAACCGCACCCTCCATTAGCTCGAAACATTCCTTGCATCAACCACAATGCTCTTCCATAACCCTGCATTTTCAAAATTCAGAAAATTCCATTTAGCTTCATAACCNTGGCGTGATTTATAGAGAGTAAAAATTTGTGACAAACCTGCATGTTGAATGCAATCATTTGAGCTCCACTCATCCAACCGATCTGAGGTTTGTAGTTTGAAGAGTTAAACCTTGTGCCTTTAGGATATATTCTCAGAAAGTTCTTCTGGGTGAATCTGCTCATTTGTAAGATTTCTTATAAATTAACTTGAAATACTAGAAGTGAACAATAGCTACATAGTGCTTGTTTAGCATGTGATAGTTATATCTACCTTATAACATCTGAACCATATGATGCTACAGCTTTCTCAAGTAATTGCTCACTCAGGCTAAGTCGCCTGATTTTATTTGGATCAACCTTTAAAGCCATCCGTAACCCGCCCTTTGGCTTCCCGGCATGGATGGCAATAAGACGCTTGTATTCTGGTGCTTGTAATTGGCATGACATATCAAACTCTCGAGACGACTCTCTTTCTTCATCATCGTGATTGAGATAATTTATACTATTTGAGACCTGAAATCAATCATAGGTGGAAAGAATTGGAGAAAATGATCAAATCAAATTCCTTGACGCTACAAGTAGTTGCTTCACTTGGCATTTGGTAGTAACATCTATGAAACATAGAGAAATGACCAAACCTTGTCGAGGTCAGCTTGCGTAGAAATAAGATCTGCAGGCTCCTTGCCCCATACATCTTCATCTGAATCTTTGCCTTTCTCTCCATTATCTTTCTCCTTCGCATCGTTAGCTTCTAAATATTCCTTTGGAGGTTTTGTTGATATTAGAATCTTTTCCATCAATTCTTCTGGTGAAGGAAACTCTTTGCAAATTTCAGAATCATGGTAATACAACATATCTCCAAATGTTTGAGTTATCATCTGCAGAGC